CGAGAAAAGTACATTAGCAGGAATATATACAACAGCTGTCCTTTCTTTTCTTATCAAAGTAAGACCGACCATGTACATTTCTTTCATTAGTGTGAACAACTGCAGCTAGATGTTTCACAGATAAAAAAGGGAAAGGTGTAAAGATCCACGGTCATCAAAGTCATCACCTGGTGGACTGACGTCCGGATGTGCACACAGCAGTGAACCTAAAGTAACTGAAAAAAATAGCAGAGCCAGTAAACATTTGAGAAAAAAAAACTGTTCATAGTTAAGCAACTCCATTTTTCTAAGCATGAACTTATGCAGCTTCTGTAGCAGATACTCCGTTGTGGCCAGTCGCATGCATTTAAGTAAATTATTGAGCTGAAGCTCAATGGACCAGAGACTAGCTACAACGCTAGAGACGCTAGGTCAAAAAGGGGAGAATTTTCACAGACTTTTATAGATTTTTCATTTTGTTCACCTTCTCTGGTATGATTAGCAAACTGACGAGAAGGTTTACAAACGTTGATGACAAAAACAATGTTTAAATTTGTTTGGACAAAGAAGTATGCAGTTATTCTCCCTGCAGCCTATTCAAGGCTAATTTCTCATCTGTTCAGAGTCCGTGACATTAGTCATGTGGTAACATGAAGTGCCACTACAAAAACAAAACCTAATCACTTCAAATTGTCTTATTAAGAGCCAGGGGAAAAAAAATCATCAATGATTAAGTGCTAAAAGTTAACAGTTGTCACCATTCAGTCATGTTAGGTGCATATCAGGGCTTTTGCAGGCACTGAAGTTTATGTAGCTGGACCTTTACAGATTTTATTTATACTTCTGATCTACAGCAATTCCTCTGACCTGTAACCGTGTCTTTAACTAGACCAGAAAACAAAAAGAAGCGAATAGAAGAACATACATATCTCATCTCTGGATTTTCTCCTCTCGTTTTCAGACAACACTTTTCATAAATGACAAGAATTTGTTTTATAATTGTAAGGATTGCACAGCATGCAGAATGTTCTGTGGGGAAAGAAACCCTGAATGGGTCACTTTTTCCATCCTATGACAGTCTGTATTATAAATGATTGACTAGGGCTTTGTGGGGTTTCCACTCCCAAAATACTTCTTAAGACGTATGAAACCAAACATCCTCGTCGACCATCCTTTGGTTAGCCATGCTACAATGGTGTAAGTAAACACTAAGACTTGTGGATGACATGCTGGCCTTTCCACCAGTAATTTCTTTTTAACTAGGTGAAAGATGAGTTAAACAAAGTGTTGAACAATAATGGTGTGTGGGGTCATTTGCTTGTGATGGGTCAGAGTGTCTGGAATGCAGATATATTGCTGTTTGGTTTCTTTAATAGAAGTCTGAGAAAATAACACAAGTGACATAATGCTGTTGGGCAGTAGCTGAGCTCATGGCACTGGAATGCATCTGCTGGCCACAGAAATGTTCCTTCTGCCCCCAACCCAGAGGGGAAGACCATTATCATCACAGGGGCCTCATCTCTCACATTCCCCCAGTCTGCAGAATGGGCTTTTGAAGAAGTCACTCTAACTCATATGCTCATGCTTATTTCCATCGTGTAGATGCCTTATTGAACTAAATACACTGAAGGTGTCTTTGGTATTAATCTGGTGTTACCGGATATAGTTGAGATGAGTAGGATATGTAGGCGATTCCAGGATCGGTGCCATTTGTTTCCCACATTTATCAATATGTATATATATATAGATATACGCATGTTTCAAATAAATAAATAACTTAAAACATTAATAAAAACATATCTACAGTGTTTTTGCCGGTCTCAGCCCACTATAACTACACTTTACCTTGGAATATAATCATTAAAATAGTTTAGAGATTGTATTGTTTTTACATTAATGTGTCAAGCCAAAAGTTAAGTTGTGAAAAGTGTACATTTTAGGTGTGTCCCACAACATTCAGTCAGCGTGAACTTATCTGAACGCAGTCGCCACTATGAAACAGAAGTTGCATCACCAACGTTTCCTGAAAATCATGTGGAAGATAAGTATCTTTACTTTCAGCGATACTGTGATATTGACTGAGGTGGTCTCTTTGAAAGTACAATCCTGTTAACCAAGTTATATACTGAAATGAAAATATTAATTGGGTAATTAAAGTTAACCACACACACAATCTTCTATTACTGTACCACAAATATTAACTGTTCATTACCTGGCAAAAAGTTTGAGGAATAATAGAGGACTTGTACTTATCATGTGAAGTGTTTTAAACAACAGTAATGGTTCTTGCAACATCTGGGATAGAAGTGAGTCAGCACATTGCTATCTCCATTTCCTGCCAGTCAGTCAGGCTTTTGTGAGTAGCTGTGCAATTAATGAACTATTTACAGAATCTTTTGATGTATTTTGGGGCTGCAGAGAATTTCTATCTTTAGTCCAAATCAAACAAAAAAAAATCGATCTATTTTTCTTTCCCTTCATCAAGTGAAGGGAACTCTTAATGCTACGGCATACAAAGACATCCGAGACAATTGGGTGCTTTCCAACTTTGTGGCAACAGTTTGGAGAAGACCCACATATGGTCAGGTTATGGTCAGGTGTCCACATACCTTTGGCAAAGTATATTTACTTTCACGCATGCCTGATTATACCTTGCATTTATACCATACTCTACATATTTAATGTTTTCCTAACTCCAAATACACCTGATCCCAATCATGAGCTAATATGTTTTCTGCCTGTAAATAAAATGCCCATAACAACAGTAAGAAGCCTTTAACATAGTAGAGTAACTGTTGTTGTTCCTCTTTCGGCTGCTCCTGTTAGGGGTCACCACCACAGATCATTAGTCTGCGTATTTTTGATTTGGCACAGGTTTTTTTTTTTTAACGCCGGATGCCCTTCCTGACGTAACCCTCCCCAATTTTATCCGGGCTTGGGACCGGCACTGAGAGCGCGCTGTTGCACGCAACCCCATATATTTCATCAAATTCGAGTGTTTTTATTACTCTTTCCTGCACTTATGAACAGCTTTGTCTACTGTTTTTCACTCTTTTGGAAAGGAAATCACATCAGATTCTCGTCATCTTCGTACACTCTTGTGTACTTGGCCAATAAAGCGCAGTTCTGAGAGAAATGTATTGCTGACAGGTTCTACTCCTCAAAATTATAGCCATGTTGACTTGATTACTAGGTTATCTAAGGGTTGTCTAACAAACTTCTTTTAAAAGTGCCACAGGAACAGTACTTGGTGATGAGGAGTCAGCCAAGGAGAAATGGCTTAGGCAAGCTGACATAGGTATGCTAAAAACAGTACTGAACCTGGGACCGGCAGACATCTGGTGGAATTTTAAGCAACTTAGTCTTTTTGCTGGAGTCACATTGATGATGTGAGCAACACTACCTGTTTACCACCTACTCTTATAGGGGTCAATTATCTCCATTGTTTTGCTAACACTGAGTGACAGATGGTTGTGCATCATGCTGTGGGGAGTTCCCCTTCATTCCTAGCAGCTGTTTGGTCGTTGGTGGTGATAAGTCCCACACAGTACCATCATCAGCAAACCTGATGATGTAATTTGAGTCAAACTGTGCTCTGCCGCTGAGTAAGTCCAGGATCCAGCTGCACACCTTCTTAATCATAGTGTCCAGGTTTGGGAGGATGAACTAATTCATCTCATGATGTGTGCCATGACAAATTTCACAAAGCACTCTAGCATAATGAAAGCGTGCGAACGAAAGCAATAATTTATTAATGCTGGGGCACAAATGATTAAATACAAGGATGAATCAAACTGAAATATACGATTGAGATCACATATGGTCAAGAAAGATGACTTTTAGTATACATAAATCTTTCCCTACATGTGAATGAGTGTGCAAATGTATGTATATCGTGCTCTGCAGCCCATGGACAAGTGATCCAGGGTGTCTTCCCGTCTCACGCCAAGCACACCAAGCATCATGACCATGAACATGTTACTGAAGTTACTGAATCAGTATCGCTGATGTTTCAAAATTTTAAGTGACATATGCACATATTCTGTATTTTGAATTGATTATAGGAACATTTCTCAAATAACATTCTTCCGATAAAGTAAGTAAGGCTTGGCTTGACAAATGTTTAGTGAAACAGACAGTTACGTGAACATGTCTTTGATTTTTAAAACAGATTTTGAAATGAATGCTAATCTAACTCTGTGAACTAATTTTTTGCTGTTATTAACTCCCTGAGGTGTAAAATACAAAATGAAGAGTGTGAGGTCGAAGCAAACTACTCTGATGTTCATTAAAAGGTGTGTTGTGCCCTGTTATTGTATTATAATCAGACCCTGGCTCCATATAGCACTAAAAGCAATAGTTAGTCTGTATGTTTTTATAGACAAATGGCAGAAGTACCTCTTCTCTCAGACAAAAGGTGATGACAGACCAGCATCCCAAGATCTGAGTTCCTAGGAAACAAACACTGAGACATTGTGGGGTCTTTACTGTTTCATAAAACATTACATGTGATATCTAGTTTAAATATCATTAATAGCTCAAATTTTATTAAATATCATTAAAAGCATCTACTTTTGCCCCAGCACATTTAGAGTAGTGGTGCCACCACTGCATCCAATCCTTTCATGTTCCAGTTATTGAACTCTAATTTTACACACTTTGGTGTCTGGTGATGGCTTCACAGGCCTGTGAAACAAATTAGAGAACAAATGCTCCCTTGTTCATCCTGTGAGTGTAAACAGCAAGATCCCAAAACACATGACCCAATGACTTCACACTGTTTTCCTGTTCAAATATGCAAAACACAGAGAGTCATGATGAAAGAGAGACTGTACTGATCCTGTATATACTTTTGATGTAACACAGCCTTTGCTATTAGCAAGACGATTATAATTAATTCACAATTAAGCCTGAAGTAGAATAAAATTTTTAAGAATTAGTTCAAGTTCTTCAATGGAGTCCAAGATTATTTTGTACCGAAATTCTGATTTGGCTTTTTTAGTGTAGGGTTTAGTCCGGGGTCCCTGGAGGACTAGTGGTTAGGCCTTGGCGCACTCACTGCCACAGCTTGCCTTCGATTCCCAGCCAGGGAACGAACTCCAGCCACTGGCATTGCACAAGATGATGGCGCTTCCAAAGCCGGTCCCAAGCCTGGATAGAATTGGGGAGGGTTGCATCGGGAAGGGCATCCAGCATAAAAACCGTGCCAAAATCAAATATGCGGACCAACAATCCGCTGTGGCGACCCCTAACGGGAGCAGCCGAAAGAGGAAGAACAGCAGTGTAGAGTTCAATCCAATGTTTGTTGTCTCCCACAATTCATCCAAAACTTTGGATTTCTCATTAATATGACTCTGAGTCTCAGCGTTCTCTACACTCTTAGGTTGCATTTGCATTGCCAACCAATTCTGATTTTTTCACAGACTTTTAATATTAAACGGCTTTTTTCATATCCAATATGGGCCACTTTCAAATGAGACTCTAGATCCAAAAAATATTTGACAGCTGTCACTTGACTCCCATGTAAATGCTCACTTTTCCAATTAATTCTGAAGTTATCATCATTGTTATTGGACGCATTTTTCATTTTATCATCATTTGGTGCTCACATAACAAGTGAATCATGGAGGGTGATCAGTAAAGTTCAGATTAAATAAATTGTCTTATCCAACTCTTGTGGGGATGCATTCATTCCAAAACTGCAGGGTAGCTACAGAAACTGAGCTGTCTACGAGGACATTTCTCAGGCCATGGCAGACTAAGGATATGGTCCCGGCTGCAATGCCACTGTAAAATTCAAGGCTAAAAACCATAATAATCACAATCACAACCACTTGTCCAGTCTCCATTGTAAAAGGTGTCACCTCCATTCCACTACTCCAGAACTTCTCGGCCTCAACCACATCTTTCTTCAGATTGAGGTCGACAGAAGTAATCACATCCTCTTCTTTTGTCTCATCATTACAACTCTGCTTTTCATATTTCAAATACACTCTATGCAAATTACTGGTAAAAACTTGCCTAGTGCATTTTTGGCAGGGGATACGATGTAAACACAGGAATCGGATATGGGTCAAGTCTTAGGCATACGTAAATAGACAGCACCAAAAAAAAAATCAGATGTGTGTCAAAATATCAAAATTCTGCCTCAAGCCACAGAGAATGTAAACGATGCCTAAAAAGCTGCATGAAGTTTTACCTGCGTGAATAAAAACAATTGTAACAACAACAAAAAAGCCGAATAATCGATTTCTTCAATTTGCCCACCATTCAGAGAGATTCCAAGCGAGGTGAGGTGTGACCCATCGATATGGATTACTAGGGCAATATAGAAAATGTTTCCATTATCATGATGAAATTAACTGTAGGCTTCAGTCATTAGTCAACAGGTAAGCCAGTGCAGCAGTCCAAACGGCTTTCCTACTGCGCACAGAGTGCACACTGTACTCAATTTAATTAAAAGAACTTGGTGTTCATATATTGTACCTTACCGAAATACTGTACCGAAATAATTACGTTCACTTAACTTGGTGTTCATTTCAAGTGTACTTAAATACAGCGTGTCCCAAAAGTCTCCATGCACAGGGGAAATTAACACTTTTTAAAAAATTGTAACTTCATTTACAAAATGTCCTTTACATGATTGCAATTTCTTTGTAAACACACACAGAGTCGTCTCTCCTACTCATGATGATCTCTAGAACTTCACTACACCCATACCAGCAACAGACCAGACGAAGAGGACGGCCTTCTGCAATTATCTACCAATCAGTGCATCCGTTCTCTTGTTGCCAGGCGGAACTCACATCGAAGAAAGACCAGAGTGAGCTGTTTTAATGAATCTTGATTGAATCTTAAGTTTATGTATTTTGTTCGTAAACAAGTTAAACGAACTTAGATTTTTGATTTATAGGTACAAAACGCAACAGTTTAAGTAACGTTTAGTCCTGATTACTTGATTGTTTAAGTAAAGACAACATTCTGGTTTATGGTGTCCTACACAGGATGTAGAAGTCATTATTTCACACCATACGTAGTGCTCTTATGTAGGGAATAAGACACTAAGCGGACTGTAAAGCGCACTAGTTTTATCCAGACACAGCGAATATAACTGTATAAAAAGTCGATTTAATGATGTCCCTGCTGGAAAAAAAACAGCTGAACACCATCTTGGCCAGGCTGCGAGACCAGCTTAAACCAGCTACATCCAGCTAAAACCAGCAAAAGTCCAGGCAACCAGTTTAAGCTGGTTTTAGCTTGTTTCTTCAGCAGCCTAGCTGAAAAACAAACAAACAAACAACAACAACAACAAAAACAATAGAAACCATCACAGAAATTCTAATGGTTTCCACTACAAATACCATTACAAACCATCAGCTAACCATTAAAACCATTACCATTAACAGTTTAATATACCTTAATGGTATCCACTAGGCATAACATTCCACCAATAGAAAGCAACAAATCACCAGTAGAGACCCGCAGGGACCATTACAGCTTCCATTATAACCATTAAAACCATTACACATTCTAGGAGGGTTTGTATTGTTTGGGTTTTTTTTTCTTTTTCAGCAGGGAGTGCACTTAATAAAAACGCTTAACTGCAGCAGTGTTTGGGAAGGAAGAAGCCACGAGGCAGTTGAAACAGGGCGGGAGCTTGTGACTCACTGACTTCCTCAGTCGGTTTATAGTAGCGCGTGCAGCCGAAGCGCGCTGGAACCGTCTGCGCTGCGGCTGAGGGAAAAGCCCGAGCTTCCACACAGCACACAGGACTCAGGACTCAGCACTCAGCACACAGGACTCAGCACTCAGGACTCAGCACTCAGCACACAGGACTGGACCCCTAACACACCGTTCGCTTTATCACAGCTGCCAGAGTGGAGTCGGCTCAGCGGTCTCCACTTCTTCTTCCACCACTTTTTTCTTCTTTTTCCAGGTAAGCACACCTCTCTCTCTCTCTCTCTCTCTCTCTCTCTCTCTGTCTCTGTGACACTTGTAAGAGCTAGCCTGGCTTACTCTGCATCTTCCTCTCATTTTCTATAGACTCTTTCTGTTTTGCAGACCTACTGCTTGTTTGTTTGTTTGTTTGTTTGTTTGTTTGCTTGTTTGTTTGTTTGTAAACCATTAGCCCGGGATAATGCTCCAGACCAAACTTTTTATTCATGGTGATTCTGTTCAGCTGAAAACAGAACACACTTGCTGCAAGTTTCATGCACATAAAAAAGGAAAAACACCTTCCTTGTTAATTAAAAAAGCCTAAAAGTCTAGTGTGATTGTGAGTCTAACTGTAACAGCAGCCATATGATTCCCTCAGTCACTGCAGTCATAGGCCTAAATCTAGAGTAATGTCTATTACGTTACGTGACATGACATTTCAAATGCAGTGTAATAAACATATAAATCAAATATATAAATCAAATCTAATGTCTGTTCTTGTCTCCATCTGATGAATATGTGGAGTTTTAAAGAATGGAATGCTATGGAAAGGATGACTGAGTCAGTGATTGACTTACTGATTAGGTGGTTGTGTTGCAACTTACTTTCACCCTAGGGTAATTTGTTTTTACACTGCATGCTAAAGCTTCCTTTTAAAAGTCAGCCAAAAGTGAAATGGAAATGGGACTGGGACAGTCATGCTTACTGAATAATGTTCCGTTCAGATTGGATCATTTATCAAGACACACCTGGAAGTGAACCGCTGAGTTTTTACAACTCACCCATGACTCATGAGCACCAGTAAGCTGCACCTCAGTGAATCAAATGTGACGAGTAGCTTGTTGCACAGTACAATTCACACCTATAACCTATCATTTAAATCTTTTGGCAGGGCTAATGAACAGTTATCCCTGTGCACAGAAGAAAAAGTAGAATGTAACAACCGTTATATCGTACCACTGAGTGTAAACTAGCTGGAGCTGACGAAGAGGAAGAGCAGCTTTGAATTTTCTGCTTCGTTCTTCTTTTTTTCCTCAAAACCTAAGCCAAACTTTGCATGTCACAGGTGACCAGACAACTTGCTTTTCCCCACTGAACACATCCTAATGGAGGTTTTTCTGTTTTGAATAGAAGGTTGTCTTAACTAAGTGCATTTGCAGTTTAGCTAAATAAAGTACTTCAGCAGAGAAACCCATCGTAGGCCATTCAGTACTATGACAAAATGTGTTGACTGTTGAAAGTAAGTTCTAGCGTTTTCTCTTACGTGATACAGAATTCCTGAACCAGATGTCTAAGTCACTAAACATAAATGTCTCCTCATTGGCTGGAAAGTTCAGCCCCCCCGCCCCCTTTCTGGACCCTATTTGCACAAAATTAGACTTTTTGTATTGTGTTGAGTCTTGTCTTTGGTGTGATATTTCTGTATGGAAGATTGTATTTCATATAACGTAAGAGCAAAATATAAGCACTTCATGGGGAGTAAACAATAGCAGTGTGTGAACTGGGAAATGCTTTTCTTTCCTACAGTGTAAAGGGTGACACTGGGACTGTTACTGGAACAGGACATGTGGCAGCCATGTGACTAGGCCAACTGTGCACGTGTGACGTGACTTTTAGGTCTGAATCAAATCTTTTTCAGACTAGTCCCATCAGAGTGTGCTTTTAAGAAAGGCAGCGTCTGACTATTTCTTTTCTGTGGTGGCAGCTTCTTTAACACTATTATTTGACGATGAAACTGTTTTTCCTCCTCTGACTGTCTCCATACTGGGGTAATGAGTCAAAAAGTCTATAAAATCTCAATCCTGCTATCCCCCATGTAATTTTAGTGTCTGGTATTTGAATGCTGACAGAGGCTGAGGGAGGTTGAAAATGCATTTGTTTGCATTTTCTCTCCCCCTGAGCCCAGTGTTGAGGCTCTGAGACTCCAATGAGCCTTGAAAATGGTCACATTCTTTCAGAGCAGTGTGTTTTTCTAAGGTTAGCCTCTCTTAGGCACTGGAATACTGCCATCTGTGGTGTGACTAAAAAGAGAGTAGATTGGACATACAGGCTTCCCCTTTCCTATTTCTTTTTATATTTTGCTCTGAGTCTAGACTTAGCAGGTGGTGAGGAGTTGAGTTTCACAGTGCTGACGGCGTCTCTGTGCTTTCTTTGAGAA